TGGTGAGACACAATGGGGACATCTTAATGCACCCTAACTACTGCGCGCTGAGTTTAGTACTTACTTAATGAAGTACTGAATGTGCAGTAACTAGAGTTACTGTGCAGTAGCACCTGTGCACAGTTATTTTGTGATATTTACTGTGCATTAGCCTAATAACACTATGCAGCAGGCTATTAGCACAGTTTTTTTTATCACCTTCCTACTGCACAGTGTTATTAGGCTAATGCACAGTAAGCGTCTCGTGTAGACGCACCCAGTTGGTCCATTCCCTCGTTAGATGCGATATGTGTTTCGCTTCTAAGGCATCCTTCAGGCTTGAAGGGTCCTGCACTGTACCTATTGAAACCACTTAACCACAAAATACAAAGGTTTATCTATGGTGGAGGGGGAGGAGGATAAGGAGGAAGAACCATGAGCTAATCGGAGCAACGCAATTCCTCCTGTTCAGAGCAGAAACAGGAGGAGGGTGGCAGCACTTCCTCAGAGAGAGAGAGTCTCCATCAAAGCTGCTCCTTACCACTTATTCTCCTCTGATGCATGAGCCCAAGAGGACTCGGGTGGAGAGGGGCTACTCGCCCATGTCATGGACCCCTGTTTGACACATGGCTTCCCAAGGGGATAAAGAAGCAGGGATAGGTGGTCCCAGTCTATAGAGAAAAAGAAGGCATGCTCTTGTGTGAAAACTTTCCCGGGACAAAGGGGAGCTTCTTGCTCTCTCCTTTGCCTCCGTATCTGTCCCTAAGTGACTTGCTGGCGGCCACAGAATGGAGCCAAAATTACAGCTCATGACTTCCTTCTGCATTTTGCCACATTGAAACCATAGGATCACACCTCTCCCGCTGCCAGAATCTTTTCGAGGGCTTGTTCCTTCAGTCCTTTCTCAGCCCAGACTTGCATTGAAGCCAAACCTGCTTCGTTTTGCCAGCGTAAGTTAAGGTCCGGGGTTAGGCAGGATTTTTGTCTCTCCAGAAAGGAAGCAGCGGGGATATGAAATGAGTAATAAAATGGCCACTGCCACGGAAATCCAATGACTGTTTCACAATTCGGTATATTTAACTTATTAGAGTTACCATGTGGATTTTTAAAGAGCTTATTGTTTCCTCCCCGTCCTTCCTTATTGACTCTATTTCAACCCGCAAGCTTAAGAAACTTACTTTTTAAAGAATAAAATAAAACTTATGAGCTTCTCAAATACGTGGGTTTCCCCCAGCCTGCCCAAGTCTATAAAATGTATTGGCTTGGCAGACAGCAGGCTGGATTTGCACCCTTGGTAAGACTATAAACTGTGGTGCTGGAATGAAGATTATACTTTAGAGGGAACCTTGGAAGAAGAAGTATTGCCATTTCCTTTTAAGGCTGCTATTTTATGCTTGCATTATTGAGCTTTCTGTAATATTTATTTTATTTTCATTTGAATTCTCCCCTTCTCTTCCTCCTCCCCAAAACAGCTTCAAATCACCATACAAGTCTTAAGATAAACTTCTGTTGCTAATCCTCTGCAGAAAAGGGCGGGGTGGGGGGGAGGAAAGCAAAAAAGGAATTTATCAAAAGGGAGACATTTATCTAGCATTAAGATGGAAATGCAAATAGGAAAAATCCCATAAGCTTATTCATTAAGATCACGTATTAAGAAAAATGTGCTACATCTTTGGTGATGGTGGAGCATGTAAAGTGGTGTTAACTATTTGCAAAAGTAAATCTATCATACCTGCAACATAAGGCAGTCAGGAATAGATTTGGGTTTCTATGAGAGAATAGCCAAACACAGGGGGGGAAAAAACATCCGTTGGTCTTTGTTCACTGTTCGGCCCTCAGTTACGTGCGAGTCCCGTGCTAGGAGTGATATGAATAGTTCATGTAATACCACTGGTGTTCCTCTGGCAGCTTTTACACCCATTACAACATTCCTTCCTTTTCTCCTAATGGGAAAAATATAGAATTGCCCTGGTCGATGATGTACCCTAGTGACTCTCTACCTCATGTATGCTGTCATTCTTGTATCGTGCTCGGTACACACAAGAGCACCATCCTGCAGGATTTATAGATGCTTTCTCATTGATCCCAAGCCAGATCCTAGTCTTAGCCACTGTGCTATAGATCCAGCATCCTGTCACCAATTATATTTATCCTCTGATCTAAACAAAATTATTCTACGTAGGTGGCTATCGGAAGTTGGCCCACTGATTTATACATACCTGGTTGACTAGTCAGCCCCGAACAAATCTTGTTACTTTTTTTTTTTTTTTTGTCTTCCCCTTTTAGGAAGACATTTGCACACACAATGTCTTCCGCTTTTAGGATGCCTGGCTTTCATACTGTATGGCATAAGCAGTTTGGTCCTGACCCAGATTGCTGGGTTTCTAAATGAAATGCAGGTCTGAACATTTCAAGTTAATTGAACTTAAACATTGCAAAGTTTCCAAATCCCATGCTGCCTGTTAGACACTGGAGACAGATTTTCAATAAGTCACAGGATCCCAGTCCTTCTGGGTGTGAACTTCTACAGCTGGAGTCAAAGAATCGATTGCATCTTCTACTGCAGAAAACACTGCGTGCACTAAAGACCAAATTGATGGGCAAGTGGAAATAAGGGCTACAGAGAGTGTAATGTACTCTTTGACCTGCCTCATATTTCCCCTCAAACGTATAACAACTTGGACGCCACTTCTGTGCATGTATTTTTTCCTGCACTTGTATGAGGATTGCAGCATAAACCCACATTGTAGGTACACTTCAGGGTTATGAGATGGGGCTTGCCTACCTGCACTTTAATAAGTTACTTGGATAAAACTTCTCAGCACAGTGCATTTACAGGTATAAATGCACCAGGTTTTTTATTAGTATTTGTGTTGTGGTAGTGCCTAGGAGCCTCGGTTATGGACCTGAACTCCATTAGGTCAAGTATAAATATGATGATGGTCCTGACCTAAGCATCTTATTCCCCTCCTCCCCTGCACATGCAGTTCTGCTGTTTCAGACAAGCTCTTCGTTAAGGTTTAGGTCGGCTTAATTGTATGACACTTATACCAGTATTGCAGGCACTGAGTGTTTAAGTCATGAATCAGACTCCTCCAAAATCATGAGCTTGCCTTCAAATTTGTGTGAGGGTTTGTTGTTTCTTTTGGGTACAGTCATATCCCCCACTTGGGCTTCACTCTGATATTGTGATGTCTAGACCTTTCTGTGTTTCAAGAAACTGTGGACCCTCACATAATTACATAAAATTTTAGGATGCGGGATCTGTGAAAACCGAAAAAATTGTAAGACTCATGATGAAAGCAGATGAGTTGGGAACGAGGTTCTGATTTCTTCCTTATTCCATTTCTAAATGACAGCTACAGAAGCGATGTCTACACAGCAAAATGAAAGCAGAGTTGGCTTCATACTCTGGTTGCTAACACATGATAAAGCATGTGCAAATGTGTCTTCACTAAGATGGTTACCTGCACCAGCTAGCTGACACACACGGCTATGCCAGGATATGCTACCATCACAACTTTGTTTGCTGGGGTTCAAACTGGTCCTTTAGTAGCCCATAAGAACTGAATGCAACAAGGAGAGCGACTATTAAGAGATTATACTGATGATTGAGTTGCAACATGCCACTCCATATTTTAAACCAGCTGGTTTATATCAGCATGTCTCTGCAATCTGTCACATTTTCTGTTGGGCCTCTCTTTTTACATTGTCCCAGATTAGCCTTCATATCAGTAAGGAAGTCTGAATATTCCTAAAAAAAAGGTTAGCCTTCTGGAAGATAGCGCAAACTGTCCAGCCTAGATCACCTCATACCTTACTTCTGTCTATGGCATTAAAAAAAAAGATAACAAGCTGTTTGTTTTACAGGCCCAGGAGAGTGTGATTTCAATTTTGCAGGCTGAAGCTGAATCTGTAAAAGGAGCCCTTCTGCATATATGGCCAGATTCTCTCCCTA